AAAACGAAATTAATGAATATCGAAATAATGGTGCTGCATTCTTTGCTTATTATTATACTGAAGAATATAAATGTTTCTCTAAATATTTAAAAATGGCTCAAACATTTGATTCTCTTAGTGTTGAAAACAAAATTTGACATGAATTAAATATTAATTGTTTAATATATGCTTTACAACAAGCTAAAATGGATGAGAAAATTATTGATTTATACCGTGTTTATTGTTATTCAAGATATCAGAAAATTAAATTGATAGATGAAGTTTCAAAATCATGTAATATTAGAATTCAAATAAAACGTGAAGAATTAAAGCGTAAAGATCATGCTAATACAATAATGAAATATATAAGATCAGATAATGAAGAAGCTACTGAAATTAGTATGTATTTATTTGGAGATTCAAATATGAAAGGTGATCTTTATTTCTTAGATGTTGATATTCCTATTACTCCGTTTTATCTTAAGAATAGAGTTGAAATAAATAAATGGGCATTAGATCACAACAAATCAATTGAATCTATGTTTAATAAACAAAGAAAGAAAGGAAATTCTTATTTAACTAATCCAGGAGCTAAATCCAGTATAAAAATATCTGAACTTATTTTATTTATTAAAGATAATAATGGTTTTAAACCATATTCACTTAGTGACGTTCTTCATTAAAATCGGATTTATCTGATTATGTTAAACAATCAATCGAATCATTAGATTATCTAGATTTTGAAGTAAAACCAATAACTATGGAAAGAAATAAAAAAAATCTAAATCCAAAAATTATACTTATTATTATGCAGATTTCGAAGCTAGTATACAAGGAATTCATAAAGAATGTTGTGTTGCTTATTCTAAACGTAATTCTTCTCAAATTTTATGTTAATATGGTGGCGAGTGTGTAGAAGACTTCTTATCTGATTTAGATAACAATTCCGTTGTTTACTTTCAAAATTTGAAATATGATTCGTGTTTTTTAGAAAAATATGTAATTGAGACGTGTATAAAGAAAGATGGAAAAACTATGAAAATGAAACTAAATTATCACGAAAAAAGAATTGTTTTGAAAGATAGTTATTCAATGATTTCAAATTAGTTATCAGATTTTCCTAAAATGTTTGATTTGAAAGATATTCAAAAGAATTATATCCTTATAATTACTACGACGCAGATAGAATTCAAAATAACGTTGGAATAATTTCAGAAGCTGGTGAATATGAATCTCGAAAATGGAATAAAAAACAATATGAATTATTTAAAGAGAATATATATAAAAACAATAATTGTTTAGTAAATAACGACAAGTTCGATATGAGATTATATTGTAAATTCTACTGTTGTCAAGACGTTAGAATATTAAAAGAAGGACATATTAAATCCGAA